GACAGTGTGACAGAAGTGACTAGGCCACATGTTCCTCACCACCTAGCAGGGTCACATGGGTCTGTTTAAATGGTGGTAGCAGAGTTCCAAAGGAGCAAGCAGAAGCATATAAGTGATCTTGGGTGCTAGGCTCAGAAAAGTCACTTCACCACATTGTGTTTGTCAAAACAGATCATGGTCCAGCCCAGAGTAAAGAGAACTATAAACAAATTGAACTTCTTGATGGAAGGAGTTGTAAAGTCACATTGAAAGGGGTGTAGAAACAAAGAAGATAACTGTTGTGGCCATTTTTGCATATGTTATTCTCAGCCAGTCTTAAGTTTCATAAAGAAATACAACAGGGCCTTGCGACTTCTGTATCATATGGTAAGTGTTACTGGACTGGACCTTCTACCATAAACAACCAAGAAAAAAATGGCCAAAGTAAATAAACATAAGTTTTCAGATACTGGAAAACTGGAAGTGCAGGACAGTGATTCTCAAGATAAGAACAAATGAAGTGAGCTCTACAAGCTCTGGCTTTTTTCCTGGAGGCATTTACTGGACCCCATTACAAGAAAAGGGGAAAACAATTAGAGCACCATAGTCTTGATAAGATGAGAAAATAAAGATTGGAGTTTGGGATGACTGATGTGGCTGGAATTTGTAGGGCAGAGAAAGAAGGAAGCTATGCTAAATCTTCAGAGAGATCAGCTAAACACTGAATTTGACATGTGTAGAGTGAGACCCCATGAGGCTGAGCAAAGAACATCTACCAGGGATAAAAATACCAGAGAGCTGTGAGCTTAACAACTGCCATAAGTTTTCCAGGGTTGGAATTATTTGAATTCTGAACAGAGTGGATAGACCACATTGAACACCTCAGATGACCAGTAGAAGCCCCAGAAAATTTACTCTTTATGTATCCTAAAATGAAGGCCATCGTAGATCCACACTAACAAAGCTTTAAAATACACCTCAAAAGAGGCAAGGTGTTTTGCAGGTAAATTAACTGCCTAGCAAAACAAAATTCAACACTCTCTAAAGGAAGGCAGCATAATTCAAGAACTCAACAATGACAGCTATACATAGTCAATCTAGAATTACTAGATATATGAAGCAGTGGGAATATGTGACCTATAAGCAAAGTCAGTTAATAGAAACAGACACAGAAATGGCGGAATTATCAGACAGGGACTTTTAAATGGATAGTATAAATATATTCAAGGATTTGGAGAAAAACATGAAAATAATTGAGGCAAATATAAACTTTATTTAACAAGAACCAAATGGTATTCTAGAATGGAAAAAAATATATGAAATAACAAAATTAATGAGCAGGATTAATGGAAAATTAGATACTGCAGAAGAGAAAAAAGAGTGAACTTGAGGACAGGGAAGTAGAAACTATCCAAACTGAGGAAAAGAGAGAAAAAAGGCTGAAAAAAATTAACAGGAACTCAGTGGCCAGTAGGTCAACATCAAGGGGTCTAACATGTGTGACTGAAATCCCAGATAAATGGGAGCAGGGGGAAGGCTCAGGAAAAATATTTGAAAAAATAATGGCCAAAATTTATTCAAATTTTCTAAAAATGATAAACTCACAGATCTAGGAAGCTTAATTAACCCCAATCAAGATAAATACCAAGAAAACTACAGCAAGGTACATTATTACCAAATTGCTGAGGTGTAATGATGAAGAAAAAAATAGTTAAAACAGCTGGAGGACAAAAGACTCCTAATGAATAGGGGAACAAAGATGTGCGTGACTGTGGACTTTTCATCAGAACTAATGTAAGCTAGAAAACAATGGAAGGACAGACACTTCACAGTGCTGAAAGAGAAAAACCTATTAATCTAAAATTCTGTATCTGGTGAGATTTTTTGTTCAAAAATGAAGGCAAAATAAAGGCATTCTATTAAAATAGAAGAAAATGGGGAAGGAAGAGAAAAGAAGGAGGAAGGGGTGGAGGAGGGGAAAGGGAAGGGAGAGGGGAGGAGAGAAGGGGAGAGAGAGGGGAAAGAGAAGCAGAAAACATGGAGAGAATTCAGTGTGCAATGTACTGCACTGGTTTTCAAGAGAGGAGAGGTGGAGAGGAGTCAACCTGGGGACTTTATCAATGCACATGTCTCCCCCTGCAGATTGTAATGCAGTGATGAAAGCGATAAAAGATGTTATGGAGCCAAATATGTTTGAGAATTTAGTGGGGACCACAAGTGTCAATGTATTTATATGCTTGTAATCCCCCAGCCCCACTCCCATCAGCTCTAGACTGTGAGCTCTAGAAAGGGATGTCCTGTGTATGTGACTCATACTATATGTTCAATACACACTTGTTGAATTGGCTTTAAAATACTATTAATGTGAGGCTTGGTTCCAAAGCACAGTTTCATCCACCCTTTCCAAATAGAAGAAACTGTTCTTAAGGTTTGGTTTCTCCATACTTAGGGAGACATCACCAGTGTATGTGGGTACTGGGGAAAGCAGTGCAATTTTACCTAATCAGAAAATGTTAACTTATTAGCCATATTGTAAGAGGCTGCTATATATCCAAAGCTAATCAGAATAAAACGAAGAAGCATCTTTTATTACAAGTAATCTGAAACTTTGCTTTCAGAGACTTAATGGCAGTAACACCTGTGCATATGTGTGATAGAGTAAAAATGAAAACAAGGCAAGGAATCCTTCATGAAGTATGTCACAGCTCAGCGAAGCTTCAGTCCAGTGTTTGCTGTATTTATGGCCCTGTCCTGTCTTTGCTGTTCACAGTGCTGACCCTGGGACAAATCAAGATCCTGAAGTGTCCTGTGGATCATTCATGTATTCTTTCAATACGGAAAGAGAAATGACATTCATCGAGACTTTTATTAAATTAGTAACAGGATATGAAAATGGAGTTCTTCATCTCTTGGTTTCAGCTGGAGCCCCCATTACTGCAAGTCCAGTAATACATACCAAGTGCTGGTTGAGCCTATAGCTCTAAAGTGGGGCACTTGAAACCCTAGGTGGGTCTTGCCACGGAGGCATTGGTGACCCTTGTGGCCCATGGCCTACACAGAGGGTGTACAGTAGCTAAGGACTAGGACAGAGGGAGAGAGGAGACTCCTGTGGTGATGAGTGACAGCACCTCGGCTCCTCTAAGCCCCCTAGGTGTCAACCTTGGCATAGTCCTGCTGGGCCTGCGTGGCCCAGCTGTAGCAAGAATCTTGCTAAGTCAGTTTATGGACAACCCCCCACCCTCAATACCCGATCAAATCCCTCATCCCCCTCACTTGGTATCTGATCATTCTGGTCTGCCTTCCCAGGAATTCTGTTAGGTCTGTTTTGTCAGAATCCCCCCCTTACTCCTGATGTTTCCTCTTAGTGATTTTCCACCCACGGGTCCCCCTGCCCTGCTCCTTGGTTATAAATCTCCATTTGTCTGTGCTGTATTTGGAGTTGAGCCCAGTTCTATACTGAGGTCTCTCTCCCCTATTACATAGTTTCTGACTGAAATCAGTTTTTCCTCTTTAACTACTGTTCAGCTCTGGTTTTCCTTGACAGAAGGGTCCTCCTCACCTCCCAGCCATCTCCCATGCAGCAAGGTGGGGGCGGGATTTCCCCTCCCCAGGGGAGAGGCTTCAAGCCAAGAGGGATTCACCTGTGCTTTGTAGTGTCTCTGGGGTACCAAGAATAAGTATCACACGGAGGCTTGTAACTTCCTGTAGGCAAGAGGCGGCTGAGGCTGGCTGTGGTGGCTGAAAAGAGAGGGCTCCCTGGGGAGGAAACTGCCTTGTCCCTCATGGTGTGACAAGGGTGCTGAAGTGGACCTGAGGGCACAGCCAGCCGGGGCCATCTTGAATCCCAGCAAGAGGACTGCCTGGAGGGAAAATGAGGCCTGAGGAGGAGCTGAACTGGCAGATGCCCNGAGGCGGGGGTGGTCGTGAAGGAAGGAGTGCGTGGTGCAGAGAGAAGAGTTGCCCACCCTGCTGGAAACCTTCCAGTTCTAAAACTGGGTTGAGCAGGGGGAGCTACATCAGCTAATTTTGGAGTTATCTAAATTGCATACTTATTGGGCTGCAAATTGTAATGGCCCACGTGACTCTTCTTAGGAATGTATGTGATATGTGTTTGTTATATAAGAGTGACCAGAAAAGCGATGGGCCCTGCTGGAAATTTCATCCAGAAGCAAAAAAGTAGTCCAGAGAGTGTTGGGGGTGAGGGTGGGGGGTGGGAATAAACCCACTTTTGCCTCGCACCCTATTGAGTCCCATGCCATCAATCTGTCACACGGACAGGACTTCATGTGTTCTAATTTTACCCTTACCACCACATAGTGAGGTTTCTATTCTTATACCCACCTTTTAAAGGGAGAAAACGGAGGCTTGCAGGTATTAATGTCTTGCTCAAAGTCACAGTAAGGGGTTGAGGACTGATAAATCCGGATTTCCCCAGGCACTCATCCCTAACCTCCAGCTTCCCTTCTGGTAGCTTCAGAAAAAGCTGGTTTGACAGGCTTGCATGAGCTCAAGGGGGGAAATTGCTTAATGGCATGGCAGAGGTCACAAAGCCACTTCCTCACCCAGGAAGCTGTTCTTGCTACTTAGTCACATAGCCAGCCCTGCCTCTTGTCTATAAAAATGTAGGGCACTGTGAGGGTGGTCCCTCTCCTGGAACTCTCCCTGGTGCACGCAGTCCAGCTATGCCCAGCCTGGCACACTTTCCTAAGAAGTCAGCGTATTGTGGGTGTCCTGCTCCTTCTCTGCTGTAAGTCCCTCGACCTCCAACACCATTTTAAACTTACACTGCAGTGTGCGTGTGCTTGAGTCTGTTGTAGGGGAGAGGTGGAGGGAAGATTCACAGCCTGGGCTGCCTTTCGGTAAGATCCATGCCCTGTCCATGAGGCCGCAGATGATGTTACATCGCTTGCTCACCATGGGCCAGGCACTGATACACAGGAAGGGGGTGAGGGGCCCTGAGCTTCCAAATTAGATGGAGAAATAAGAGTTACAAAAGTGTGTCTGACAAAACCTTCGTGTAATGCTTGGACAGAAAGAGGGCTTTTATTTTAGAATCTCTCCAACAAGCTTTGAGAAAAAAAAGATACATTGTATATGGCCAGAAAATTACTCACAGTCATTGATTTCCCCAGGTTTCTGGTTAATTATGGTCACACCCTCGGTCCCACTGCATCTGTCAGGTCAGAATGAGTCCCAGAGATTTATATTTATTCCACAAGTGGTGGTTGTGTGCCTGCCCATCTACAATCATGGAAAATGCACTGTAGAGCAGGAATGGAGCTCAGAGATGACCTCCAGAAAGTCCTTCATGTTACAGATGAGGAAACTGAGATGCATAATGTAAAGTGTTTTGGCCAATTTCCCTTTGAGTGTGTACCTGGATGATCTGATTGAGGTTAAAGACAAAAAAGAAAGAAAGAAATGGAAGACAAGTTCCTGGATGTTCAGGAAGTTCAAGTTCAAGGCCTGATTTGATTGGTTTCATTCTTGGACTATGACTTGACCTGTTTTCTAGAGACACAACTTGCCAGTGGGTTACAAAAGAGGTGCACACAGGTGGGGCTCTCCCTTCCTTTCTTTCTTTTATCAGGCGAGAAGGACCAAAGCCTCTTCCCACACATTAAAAACCCAACCATTTCTTCCAGGCATACTCTTTTCTTGGCTCTCCCAGCTAGCTTAGGTTAGCTGTAGCCAAACACCCTCCCTTTCTATCCTTTTCTCTGTTTCTCTTTCCCACAGTGTCAGTTTATTAGCTTTTCTCTGAATCCCAAGCAATGGGAAAGAGAAGCCCTGTGGCCTCGTGGCCTAGTTTGTTTTGAGCTATTTAAATTACTTAGGTCTAACCACCATAGGAAAAAATGTATATGCTTTGGTCCAGCTTACCATGGTTGTTTTGTTTGCTTGATTGCATTGGGGTTGGGGTCTGTCTTAGCCCGTTTTCTGCTGCTATAGCAGAATATCAGAGGCTAGATAATCTATAAAGGAAAGAAATTTATTTGGCTTACAGTTCTTGGGCTGGGAAGTCCAAGGGTATGATGCCAGCATCTGGTGAGGGTCATCCCATGTGGAAGAGCAGAAGTCAGAAGTGAGCACGTGAGACAGAGAGAAAGGGACCGTGGACAAACTCACTTTGAAACAACCCACTGTCATGATAACTAACCCACTTCTGCTATAAGGACATTAATCCATTTGTGAGAGCTCTACCCTCATGACCCAATCACCTCTTATTAGGTCCCACCTCCCAACACTATTGCATGGCGGTTAAGTTTCCAACAATTAAACTTTGGAGGATACATTCGAACCATAGCTGAGTCAAAACTCCATAGACTATCAGTGTTAACCTGGCCCTTCATTTTATGGCCATTGTCTCATAGACTACACCCAGAAGGATTAAGCAGGATTCTGGTATTTCTGACTCCCTACTACAAAATACTCTACCAGGGCCCAGTGAGTTTTAGGCTGGTATTACTAGCCAGCAAAAGCTTACAATCTAGTTGCAAAGAAAGATCACACTCTGACTCAGTTAAATCCAATGTGAAATGACATGGGAATAAATGCCTGAGGATTTAAGGCAAGGAAGTACTCTTGAAGACTAAAGACAGAAAATATTTTCAGATTTGTTCTCTAAACCTGCTTCTCAGGGTTGGTTAACTATGGCCACACCCTACTTGGCCCTGAGTCTAATGCCAAGGTGGTGCTTCCTTATGTAAACCCTAGAAACTGCTTCAACAACACTCGTTTTCCCTACCTGTCAATGGGAATGACACCTGCCCTGCTGGTTTCTCACGGGACCATTCTGAGGCAGAAACAAGACAAGGCATGTGCAGTGCTGCCAGATGGGAGAGGCTTTGTGGCTCACCTCTATGGCTGCCTCCAGGGTCCACCTTCTAACTCCTATCGACTATTTTATACCACATTGACCTGAGCCATCTCAATAGGCCTGAAGCAAATACCTGTTTCAGAAAGGAGGCAGGAAAGAGGCACATTACAGCTATATCTTTTATGATGTGCTTATGGTTTACAAACCACTTAAAGCCCACTATTTCCTTTGATTCTCACAAGAACATTCTTTAGGAAGGAATCATTATCCTCTTTTCATCTCCCTGATGAGAAGGTAAATCATTTAGCACATAAATGATTTGCCCAAGGCTAATCCAAGGAGATGGCAGAGCTGGGATTTGATCCAGTTTCCTCTGAGTCCAGTGCCTCTGATCTTCCCTCAGAGTCGCTTTCGTTTTGTCCCCTTATATCTGAGCAGGCACCAGTGGCTTCAGAGCACATGCCATTTCTTCTCGCTTTCCTTTCTCCTTCCCTTCCCTACCAACATCACACCCGCGGAACAGCGCAGATGCGGTAGCTGACGGGGGAAATGGTGAGGCCCATTCTGAACTTCAGACTCAGCTTCTCATTGTTTGCAGGCTTAAAGGTAAATTTTTGCAGAAGAGAAGTAAAGAAAATAAACAGCTCAGACTTGGCCAACTGTTCTCCAAGGCACGCCCGCTTTCCTGAAAGACAAAGAAGGTGAGTTATCTTCCCAGGTGGCGTTGGTGCCTAGTAGGCATTGGTGTCCTCCACCACATCCTGCAAAACCTGAGTGGAGGAAGGGCCTGCTAGGCCCTGGGGCTTTATACCCAGCAGTTTATTTAAGTCTGTAACCACCTGGGTTCACCAAAGAAGTCCAGGATCACAAAGTCAAATGCCTTCAGGGGTCAGCAGCTGAGGTTCAGGGTGAGAAGGTGCAGGGTGTAGGACAATATTAGTGGGGGGCCTGGGCTGACCTAGAAAGTGGGCGTCTAGCCTAAAGGCTTTAAAAAATCATTTAACAACAAGAACAAAAGCAGAAAAAACAACAATAAAACTCTGTGCTAATTTTTTTCAGTCCTTAAAAGGAAACTACCCAAAATATAAGCAAGTAAATGTCGGAGCAGGGTTTCTAAAGTATGTCACCTTCCCCCCATGTCATGATTTCCTCCTTAATCATAGAAGATCTCCCTGACACGGGTGGCCCTCTATCAAGGAACTGCTTCAGCCTCCTTCCCTTGAGCAGTCCTTCTTTTACGCCATGGTCCTTCCCCCACGAGGGCTTTGCTTCCAGTGCGGGGCCAGAGGTTGGATCCTGCTCTCCGCTGCTCACGTCGGCACTGCCCTGACCACATCCCAGTCCTCCCACTTTCTAGCCACATGACCGGGGCAAATGAACCTCTCCAGGCATTAGTGAAAATGTATGTGTGTGTATTAGTGAAAATGTATACGCGTTAAAGATGAGAACTTTATTTTATATATTGTGTGGGCTACACACTAAATCTGAATAGGACAGATAATTTAATAATGGACACAGCAAAACAAAGTATTTAAAAACGCCACCAGGATAATAATAAACATAATAAACATTCTAGCTGTACAATAGCTTATCATTAATTTGATCTGGTTCATTCTCAAAAAACAGAAGAATAGAATTTAAGAAATGACCTTTAAGGAAAACTTTTTGGGTGGAACAATTATTAAAATAGCTTTCTATACATTAATTTTTTTTTTTACTGTGGTACTTGCCATTATGTGCTTTTTATTTCTGAAATAATTTCAAATAATAATTCCATAAAATTTGCAAATATAATACAAATAACTTGGTTCTCTTGAGTTATTCAAGAGTAAATTGCCTATCTTACCTATAAAATCTTTAGTATGTATTTCCTACAGACAAGACAGTCTTCAACATAGAACCACAATATAACCACCAAAGTCAGGAAATGTACACTGGTGCACTACCACCGTCTCATTCTCAGATCCCTTTTAGGTTTTGTCAGTTGTCCCAATATTGTCCTTTATTATAAAGAGTCCCTGTGCAGTATCATGTATTGCATTTAGCTGTCATGTCTCTAGTCTGCTTCAGTTTGGAATAATTCTTCACTCTATATGTAACTTTGACGGTTTTGGTATTTTTAAAGATTACAGAGCAGTTATTTTGCAAATGTTTCCCAATGATTAGATTCAGGCTGTGAGTTCTGAGTTCTTGGTAAGACTATCACTGATGATGCTGTGTTCGTTTCATTTTATTCTATCCAGTGGTACAAAATTTTGATTCGTCCATTGTTGGTGATTCCTTGGTTAAGGTGGTATCTACCAAGTTCTCCCATGTAAAATTATTCTTTTTCTCTATATAACTAATAAATACTTTGAGACTATGTTAATAAACCATTCTTCATTAAACGTTCACCCGCTAGTATCCATTCCTATTTCTTGACCAAATTATTTATTACTTATGATTGCCAAATCATGATTTTTAAAATTCCATCAGTCCTTGCACATTTATTAGTTTGCAGTCTACTAAAGAAAGTGCTTGCTCTCCTTTCCGTTTACATATTCACTCATTTAATTGTATCAGTATGGATTCATGGGGATTCCTATTCTTATTCAAAGGATTATAATCTGTTACTATCATTACTTGGTTTGATGCTCAAAATATTCCAGATTTGGCATTAGATGCCCATTCAAGCTGGCATTTCCTGACTTTTGGGCACAACAATATGTTCCAGGCTTATCTTACACTTTCTCTTCCCCAGCCCTGGAACCAGCAACTTTCCCAGAAGTCATGGCTCCTTTTAGTGGGTAACGATACATAGAAATCAAGATCCAGGTGCTAACCATGCTCATGGCTCTCTAGATGTTGTGCTCCTGGGTCATCTCAGTGGACATAGCTGGGGGCTATGTGTATGTATATCATGAGAGCATATATCCTAAGGTGTGCATATACACCCACATTTATGTCTATATTTATTTCTATATCTATTTATTAATCTATTGAAAATCTCAGTTCATATGGATAACCAACACCACAGAGTTCATTTAATTTTCTCCCTTTCCCTATTTGTAACTTCCTCCCATTATCCTTAATACATTTTCTTAATGGGTCAGTGTCCTTGTATATACTTATCTCCCATCACTGCCACGTGTGCAGAGCCCTCCTCATCTCACTCGTGCTCTGATACCCGCTGGAGGTGTCCGCTGCCCCTTCCCTGAGTGAGTCCTTCTCACCCCTCACCAGTCACTACCACCATCTCTTTTGTGTGCATTTTTTGTAGCTTACTTTCTCCCTAAGTAATACATGTTCCCTGCAAAAGGGGGTAAAAAAAAGCATGAAAAAAATACAAAGATAATAAAAGATGTTTGTAATCCCATAACCCAGACAAAACCATTGTTAACATTTTGACATATTTCCTCACTGTCCTTGTGGGGATTCCCTTGGACACCATGACAGGTATTATTTTCTGTAGTTAATTCTGTATTAGTGCTGCTTTTGCCACTTTGTATTTTCCCATATAATTAAATATTTGGGGAAATCATTAACGTATGCATGCCTCCACTTTGTCCTCCGCCTATAGCAGGTTGTTGAGGAAGTAAAATTAGATCATACATGCAAAGTGCTCAGTAAATGTAAAAGTGCTTGACAATTACAGTATGTCATTATTGCATTAATTTGTGCCTGTTTCTCACCAGCGTGTGTCTAATTCATCTCTGTTCCCTTCATCTTTATCTTTTTCCCTGTCACAAATGTACAACAACTTGTCAAAATGGTAACAAATCAGCTGTATTGTAAATACCCAAGAGTCTCCTAGAAGAATCCTTATATCTTAACAAAACTGGACCTAGAAAATCAGAAACCAGGGTTAAAAAACTGTCTCTATGAGTAACCAGCTGTGTGAATGTGAGGATTCATGCTCACACAGCTAAACTTTTCTCACTTGTCAAATAGGTGAAATAATCTCCCTCCTAACTATGTTACATGCCTGGGCAAGGATCCCAGTGAGACAGCAGGTATGAATTTGCTTTTAAAAACATGAAAGCGAAGACTGTTTGATTTCAAAGCTTTGGCCTGGGTTAAAAGATAGCTGGACCCTCTTCCAACCATCCACTAGCTGGACATCGATAAGCAACCGAGTCAGTTACCTCATTAGTAAAATGAGAGAATTGATCTAGGTTTTTGGCAAAGTTCTTCCCAGTGCTATCTCCTATGATCCCATGATTTTATTTGGAAAATGAGGAACTGGGCTCCTGCCTTTCATGAAGCTGCCTGTTGCTTTGATGGATCAAAGGGGAAGGACTTACATGAGGAAAAGAAAACATGAACGTGCAGTAGTAGCTGTGCAATCTGCCCTAATTATGCACATGTAGTAATTCCACACCTAGTCATCTTTTCCAAGAGAAGGGAAGCCTCTGTCTACACCTCACTCTTCCAGAAAGGCTGTCTTTAGAAAGTGCTAGACCGAGAGTAAAGAAAAGCAGTTGTGTGCCAAAGATGAGCGTGTGGTGAAAAACCAGACAGATGTGTTGACATTTTGTTAACCTATTGGATTTTTCAGGTTTCTATCTCCTGTTCCATTTAACTGGTCTTCATTCTGCCACATCTTCTGCAGGAATTCCCAGGCAAATTGCTTACCTTCTTTGAATTTTATTCTTCTCAGTCAGAAAGGGAGATGGTGAGAACAAAACAGCTCCAATTTCCCCCTTTCCTTGGATTCACATCATTTGCGATGTGACTTCATAGCTCTTCCCATTAAACATTGTAGCAATTTCCCCTCCCCTTGAATTGGGACTAGCCTTGTGACTTTCATTGGCCAACAGAATGCAGTGGAAGCAATGGTGTGCCGGTTCCCAGTCTAGTGCTAAAGAGACCTGTGTACTTTCCTTCTCTCTCAGTACATTATCACCATGATATGAAGAAGCCAGGCTAGCTTGCTATAGGATAAGAGATAACATGGAAAGAGCCCCATTGTCCCAGCTGAGGTCATCCTAGATCAGCCTCCAGCCAGCTGACCTCCCACATGTGTAAGAAAGCCCTGCCAAGATCAGCAGAGCCACCTGTCTGACTTGCAGACTTGTGAGCAATGATACATCCTTATTCTTTTAAGCCACAGAGTCTTGGACTATTTGTTATGCAGCAATATCCTAACTGATACACATGGGAGGGACTCAGTGAATCTTTTTTTTTTTTTTTTTTTTTTTTTCCTCCGGGT